TAGTTTTAAAAAACATTAATATACAAAAACAAATACGATTTTAATTTTTTTTAAGGCAATCAGGTACCGTAAATCCGAATTGGTCGAATTCAAGAAAAAGGTTCATGGTCTACCAGATAAGGTCAAAGTTGAAACATGGAAATATTTGATTTTTAAAATTGATGAACTAATTCATGGTTACCATGATCAATTGCTTAATGATGAATTAAAACTATAATTAAAATTACAAAAAAAAATAATAACAACAAAACTGCTTTAATTTTGGACATCTGATTACACTACTATATATATATGGTTTATATATGATTATTATATTTTTTATTATCATATATTATTTTCAAACAGTTATTTTAGTTATTTTATATTGTTTGTTTTGTTTTGATTTTTTAAATTTTAATATATATATAAATATATATATATATATATATAGTATATTCTAAATTAAATATTTATTTTTTTATTTGTTAAAATTTATTTATTAATAAAAATAAAGTTATTTGCATTTTAATTATTTATTTTTATTTATTATTATTATTATTAATTAAAAACTATTTAATCATTTAATACAATTTATTTTTACATTTATTTATTTATCAGTTTATTATTAAAAACATATTAAATCAATTAATTAATTAAATTAAATTAATGAAATTAAATTCAAAACAAAAAAAACAAACAAAAAATCAAATTATTATTTAGTAAAAAATACTATATATAATATATATACTGTATATATATATATATCACTAACTATACGATCGGGTAATCATCGGCTGTCCTCTTCCACTAGCGATCGATTTCACCGAAAACAATATCTATCGTACCGATAATGGCCACAATATCGGCCAACAGTAAACCACGGCCCAGATAGTCCAGTGCCGACAAATGGGCAAAACTGGGTGCCTTAATCTTGCACCTGTACGGCCTCGAGGAACCGTCGCTAACAATATACAGCCCGAACTCGCCTTTCGGTGCCTCAATGGCCGTATAGGTAGTACCGGCCGGTACCCGATAGCCTTCGGTAAACAATTTAAAATGATGTATCAGTGCCTCCATCGATGATTTCATTGCCGATCGTTTAGGCGGTACTACTTTACAGTCATCGGTACTGATCTCTCCGGCCGGCATCCGATTCAGGCACTGGTGTATTATCCGTACGGATTGGCGCATCTCTTCCATACGACACAGATACCTGAGCCCCGCCATCATTGTGTGTGTGTGTGTGTGGGTGGGTGTGTCGATATAGATATGCAAAAAAAATAATTAAATAAATAAATTACTAAAAAAATCAATTTTTTTATATGAGAGAGAGAGAGWGAGAGAGAGTAAGTGATAGGAAATATAGATATATATATATATATATATATATATATAGACTGAATTAGAGGACATACCTATTGATTACAGCAATAGATTTGAAATAATTAATTAGATTTGAAAACTAATTATAATAAATAATTAAATAATAATCTATTAATTTTTAGTATTAGAGAGAGAGAGAGAGAGAGAGAGAGAGAGAGAGAGAGAGAGAATCAATTATAAGACACACCCTATCGTACTAATAGTTAATAAAATAATTATTAACTAATAATAAATAATAATAATGTAATTAATAAATTAAACTAATTATTAACTAATAAACTAATTATTAACTAATAAACTAATTATTAATTWTTAAACTATCAATTTCTTGTCTAATAAACAGAGAGAGAGAGAGAGAGAGAGAGAGAGAGAGAGAGAGAGAGAGAGAGAGAGAGAGAGAGAGAGAGAGAGAGAGAGATAAATTAATTTTGTATTTACATTAGTAGTAAATATTACAGAGAAAATATATAAATTAATTTAAACTATTTTGAAATAAAATATATTATGTCAATATTAAAAATAATAATTTTTTTATATATAATAATAAACAAAAAAAATAAGTTAGAAATGTATTTTTATAAATAATTAAATTAAAAAAAACAAATAAAAAATATATTATATTATTATGAAATAAATTATATATATAACTTTATATATATATATATATATATATAATATTAATATTATATTTTAATCAATGAGTGTTGAGAACAGTTACAGACACCAACCTATCATAACAGTCGCCTTTCAGACCAATGGGTACATCGAAATCAAAATCATCGTAACTATCGTACGGCTGTGACTTACGGAGATCCCATTTGATACCCGAACCCCTCARCATAACACCGCTGAAGCCCCAGTTTAGGGCATCTTCGGCYGATATGATACCAATATCKATGGTACGGGCCTTCCAAATACGATTATCGGTTAGTAGATCTTCGACTTCATCGAGTCGTTCGGGAAATGCTTCCGACCATTTGTAGAGGTCGTCCATTATGCCGATCGGTAAGTCCTGGGCTACACCGCCCGGCCGTATGTAGGCTGAGTGCATACGGGCGCCGCTAACACGTTCGTAAAACTCCATTAACTATCATCAGTTTATTAGTACAAAAAAAAACAATGGACAAATAATTAAAATAACTGTTTGAAAGGCCAGTCAGGTCTCTATACATACTTTCTCCCGTTCCTCGAATAGCCAGAAAAGCGGTGTCAGAGCGCCGATATCTACGGCATGAGTACCGATATTCATCAAATGGTTCAAAATGCGGGTAATTTCGGCAAACATTACTATATATATATATAGAGAGAGTAAAAAATGAATATTATTAATAATATGATATTTATCTACCAGTGCTGCTGGTCAGTGCTAACAACCCAGCATAGAAAATAAACACCCGACCCAACCAGTAGTACTATATAGACTAAACGGTTATGTATTACTATCCTATTATATACAGTACAATAGTAGTACCGGTAGTAGTAATCATCTATACATTCCTAGTCTACGGTAGTTAATAGTATTTAGTAATAACTGTATCAGTACGGGGGACGGGAACGGGTAGTTAGCACACACACTCCCACCCACTGTTTACTACTACTACTACCTGTACTACTATTAAATAGTGTGGACAGTTAGCTATCGGTACAGGGACTCCCACACACACACACACACACTCCCCCACCCACCCCCTCCTGAACAACTATAAGTRTATATAAACTGGTCATCATCATCATCGGGTGATTGGTTGKGTGTAGATCATAGCCACACTGTATACCTCTAATATACTGTGCCCGTTTGGGCACCTGTATGTTCAACAATTTTTCAATGGCCATCGAATAGCATTGTTCATTGCACATCATCGATACATAATCTAACCGATCCATATAGGGCAGGGCCTGGGTATAGGTTTTGTATTCAATCAGTTTTTCGGTAGCCCTGTGCAACAGTCCGATGTGCGGATCGGCCCTCAAAACCAACTCTCCTTTCAGCTCCAATATCAGCCGCATTACGCCGTGTGCGGCCGGATGTTGCGGACCAAGATTCATGACAACACTACGGACGTGTCGTTCAACTGGTTTACGTTGATTGAGGACATTAACCCAACCTTCCCATCGGGACTTGTCGTCCGGTATCAGATATTTATCGTCTTCGTAGGCCAGTCTCGCACCTTCAATGTCCCGAAAAATTCCCGATCGGGAAACCATTTCGATTTACTAGCCATTTGTCTGATTTGTTGGTATCGATGATGGCCACCATTGGCGGTGCAGCCGATCAGGTGGTGCTTGTTGTTGGTGTTGTAGTGGCCATTGGCGGCAACGGCAGCGGTAATGAACGGTAATGTTGTCCTACTAGTAGTAATAGCTGTCGGCGGCGGTAATCGCATCGTAATCTCATCAATATGTTGGCCATTGTTTTTRCGATGATTGATATATATATAGCGGTGGTCAGCGGGTAATTGTATTGTTATTTTTTTTGCGGTAATTATTATTATTAATGATTGAATTAATGATTGAATTTATACATCATTTTAAATAATAATAATAATTAAAAAAAATAAATTATTAATATTTTTTTCGTTTAGATTAATAATAATTAGTTATTATTATTTAATTATTATTAACTAATTAATAACTAAATAAATTGTATTTATGCACAAAAAAATAGGTTATTCATAATTTTTTTTGATTTTATTTTATCAGTTAAAATTTTTATTACAGTATTTTTCAATCATCTAGTAAAAATTTATTTTATTTTTTTAAGTAATAAATAAATAAAATAACCTATCAAAAATTATTAGTTTTTAGTTTTAAAAAAAAAATAAATACAATTAAACTGTTTGTATTATTTTTAACTATAATTTTAACGATAATAATAATAATAATTTTAAAATTAATAATATGATAGACATATATCATATATAAATATTCATTAATATTTAATGCACCAGGGATAAGGTCAAAGTTCAAAATATCATGGAAATAATTGATTTGTTAAACTGATTGATAAACTAATTCAATTGGTTACCATGATCAATTTGCTTAATGAATTGTATTAAATGATTAAAACTATTTATTTATTTTTTAAAAATTACCCTGTTAATTAAAAAATTATTTATTTTAAAAAAACAAAAATAAATATTATTTTAACAGTTATTTTAGTTATTATATATTATTTGTTTTGTTTTGATTTTTTAAATTTTAATATATATATATACAGTATATTCTAAATTAAATATTTGTTGTTTTTTATTTAAATATTTGTTGTTTTTTATTTAAATATTTGTTAAAATTTATTTATTAATAAACTAAAAGTTATTTGCATTTTTAATTATTTTTTTAATAATAATAATAATAAGAAAAATAATCTGCTTGTTAATTTATTTTTGTCAAAAAATTAATAAATATTTAATATATATACTAATAATTTTAAAAAAAAATAAATAACACAATAAATATTGTTAATAATATATTCACAATTTATTATCATTATTATTATTTTTAAAATTATTTAATCATTAAATACAATTTGTTTTACATTTATATTTATTTATCAGTTTATTATTATTAAAACCTAATAATCAATTAATTAAATTCAAAAAAAATKATTATTTATTAAAACACTATATATATATATCACTAACTATACGGTCGGGTCGGGTGATAATCGGCTGCTGTCCTCCACTAGCGATCGACTTCACCGAAAACAATATCTAACGTACCGATAATGGCCACAATATCGGCCAACAGTAAACCCCGGCCCATATAGTCCAGKGCYGACAAATGGGCAAAACCGGGTGCCTTAATCTTACACCTRTACGGCCGGGAWGTACCGTCGCTAACAATATACAGTCCGAATTCGCCTTTCGGTGCCTCAATGGCCGTATAGGTAGTACCGGCCGGTACCTGATAGCCTTCGGTAAACAATTTAAAATGATGAATCAGGGCCTCCATCGATGACTTCATTTCCGATCGTTTAGGCGGTACTACTTTGCAGTCATCGGTACGGTATCTCKCCSGCAGGCATCCGATTSAGGCACTGGTGTATTATCCGTATGGATTGACGCATCTCTTCCATACGACACAGATACCTGTGCACAGCATTATGTGTGTCGATATATGTAAAAAAAAACAAAAATAATTATATAAATTAGTAAAAAATTTCAATTTCTTTAGATGAGAGGAAATATAGATATATATKAGACTCAATTAGAGGACATACCTATTGATTASARCAATAGATTTAAATAATTATAATTAGATTTGAAAATAAATAAATAAATAATTAWATAATAATCTACCCTATCGTACCAATAGATAACAACTAATAGAATAATTATTTAACTAAATAGTAATAATTATAATATAATTAATWAATTAAATTTTAATTAATAAACTATTAATTTCTAGTATAGTGAGAGAGAGAGAGAGAGAGAGAGAGAGAGAAATATAGAGACATACCTATTGATTACACTAATAGATTAAATAATTAATTAGTTTTGAAAACTAATTATTAACTAATAAACTATCAATTTCTAGTATAGTGAGATAGAGAGAGAGAGAGAGAGAGTAAATATAGATATATAGATTCAATTAGAGGACATACCTATTGATTACACTAATAGATTAAATAATTAATTAGTTTTGAAAACTAATTATTAAATTTTAACTAATTATTAACTAATAAACTATCAATTTCTAGTATAGTGAGWGAGARAGAGAGAGAGAGAGAGAGAGAGAGAGAGAGAGAGAGAGAGAGAGAGAGAGAGAGAGAGAGAGAGAGAGAGAGAGAGAGAGAGAGAGAGAGTAAAAGAGAGTCAATCAATGAGTGTTGAGGACACACACCTATCATAACAGTCGCCTTTCAGACCGATCGGTATATCAAAATCAAAATCTTCGTAACTATCGTACGGCTGTGTCTTACGGAGATCCCATTTGATACCCGAACCCCTCAACATAACACCACTGAAACCCCAGTTTAGGGCATCTTCGGCCGATATGACACCAATATCGACGGTACGGGCCTTCCAAATACGATTATCGGTTAGTAGATCTTCGACTTCATCCAATCGTTCGGGAAACGTTTCGGCCCACTTGTAGATGTCGTCCATTATGCCGATCGGTAAGTCCTGGGCTACACCGCCCGGCCGTACGTAGGCTGCGTGCATACGGGCGCCGCTAACACGTTCGTAAAACTCCATTAACTAAACAAAACAACAACAAAAAAATAAAAGACTAATTAAAATACTGTTTGAAAGACCAGTTAGGTCTCTACACATACTTTCTCCCGTTCCTCGAATAGCCAGAAAAACGGTGTCAGAGCGCCGATATCCAGGGCGTGAGTGCCGATGCCCATCAAATGGTTCAATATGCGGGTAATTTCGCCAAACATCACTATATATATATATAGACAATCAAACAAACAAACAAAAAATATTATTAATATGATATTATCTACCAGTGCTGCTAACAACCTAGCTTAGAAACTAACCACCCGACCCAACCAGTAGTGTATATATATATATATATACTAAACTGTTATGTATTACTATCCTATTATACAGTACAATAGTAGCACCGGTAGTAGCAGTAGTAGTAGTAGTAGTAGTAATCATCTATACATTCCTAGACTACGGTAGTTATAGAAATAACAACTGTATTAGTACGGGACGGGTAGTTAGTAGTTAACCACATAATAAACAAACGAAACAACAATTACTACTATTACCGGTACTACTAATTAAATAGTGTGGGGACAGTTGGCTATCGGTGCGGGACACTCACACTCACACACCCACCTCCTGTTTACTACTACTACCGGTGTTACTATTAAATAGTGTGTGTGGACAGTTAGCTATCAGTGCGGGACATTCACACACACTATCCCACCTCCACTGAACAACTATAAGTGAATGTAAACTGGTCATCATCATCGGGTGGGTGGGTTGGCTGGTTGGTGATCATACCTCTAATATACTGTGCCCGTTTGGGCACCTGTATGTTCAACAATTTTTCAATGGCCATCGAATAGCATTGTTCATTGCACATCATCGACACATAATCTAACCGATCCATATAGGGCAGTGCCTGGGTATAGGTTTTGTATTCAATCAGTTTTTCGGTAGCCCTGTGCAACAGTCCGATGTGCGGATCGGCCCTCAAAACCAACTCTCCTTTCAGCTCCAGTATCAGCCGGAGTACGCCGTGTGCGGCCGGATGTTGCGGACCAAAATTGAGGACAACATTCCGAACGTGTCGTTCAACTGGTTTACGTTGATTGAGGACATTAACCCAACCTTCCCATCGGGACTTGTCGTCCGGTATCAGATATTTATCGTCTTCGTAGGCCAGTCTCGCACCTTCAATCTCCCGATAGAAGTCCCGATCGGGAAACCATTTGCCGGCCATTTGTCTGATCTGTTGGTATCGATGACCGCCAGTGTAGCCGATCGGGTGCTTGTTGTTGTTGTTGGTGTTGGTGTTAGTGTAGTGGCCATTGGCGGCACCGGCGGTAATAATCGGTAATGTTGTCCTACTAGTAGTTGTCGGTAATCGCATTAACTTCAATATATTGGCCATTGTTTTAGTGGTCAGCGGTAATTGTATTGTTATTTTTTGCGGTAATTATTATTATTATTAATAAATTAATGATTGAATTAATGATTGAATTTATATATCATTTTTAAATAATAATAATCAAAAAAAATTATTAATATTTTTTTAGTTATATATAAATAATAGTTATTATTATTAGTTAATAATAATTAAATAATAATAATAATTATAATTATTATTATTATTATTAGTTAAATACTAAACACACAAAAAAAAATTATTATTATTATTATTATTATTAAAATTTTAGTAATGTTTGTATTTATGCAAAAAAATAGGTTATTCATAAATAACGTAATTTTTTAGTTTTTTTTAACAAAATATTAATTTTTTAGTAACGTTACTATTGTTTTAAAATTATTTTTTTTATTATTCAATTTGAACATTGTAATTTTTTTAAAAAAATAATATCATAAAACTTTTTATTATTATTATTATTATATGTATGACCTTGTTGATATTTAATAAAAATTTTTATTTTAATCTATTTTCACTAAACTATTTATGTTTGAATGTACAAAATGTACATGTAGTAAATAATAATATTTAATCATATTTTTAATACTATTAGTACTTTATAGTAGCATGATAACATTTTTTTTAAAAATTTTATCAGATAATTTTGTTTTTATTACAGTATTTTTCTTATTTTTAATCATCTAGTAAAAATTTATTTTTAATTAATAAATAAATTAAATAAACTAAATAACGTATAGTATTTATTAAAAAAAAGGTATTTTACATTTTTATAAAAAAAAATACAATTAAACTGTTTTGGTTAAAAATTCAAATATTTTTCTAAAAATATCGAACACAATGTATATGAACGACCCTTTTATTTTGGGTGTTTAACTCTCTTTCTCTTTACTAATAAAAGGGTTATTTTTAACCCATAAATACACCCAAAAAAAATAATAAAATAATCCAAAAATCGAACACTAAGTAACATAGTATGTGAACTACCCTTTTGATAGGTTAACTCTCTTATATATACAATGCTCTCTCTCTCTCTCTCTCTCTCTCTCTCTCTCTCTCTCTCTCTCTCTCTATCACTAAAAAACACTCAGTCATAAACATAGTATTAAAATTTAAAAAAAAACTAAAACTTAAAAAAAATATATATATATTTAGTATTAAACTAATAATAATAATAATAATAATTAAAAAAAAAACTAAAACTAAAAAAAAACATTTTACAAAATCAAACACTAAGTAACATAGTATATGAACAACCCGTTTAAGAGGTTATAACACTCACTCATTGACTCACTCACTCACTCACTCACTCACTCACTCACTCACTCACTCACTCACTCACTCACTCACTCACTCACTCACTCACTCACTCACTCACTCACTCACTCACTCACTCACTCACTCACTCACTCACTCACTCACTCACTCACTCACTCACTCACTCACTCACTCACTCACTCACTCACTCACTCACTCACTCACTCACTCACTCACTCACTCACTCACTCACTCACTCACTCACTCACTCACTCACTCACTCACTCACTCACTCACTCACTCACTCACTCACTCACTCACTCACTCACTCACTCACTCACTCACTCACTCACTCACTCACTCACTCACTCACTCACTCACTCACTCACTCACTCACTCACTCACTCACTCACTCACTCACTCACTCACTCACTCACTCACTCACTCACTCACTCACTCACTCACTCACTCACTCACTCACTCACTCACTCACTCACTCACTCACTCACTCACTCACTCACTCACTTGACTTGACTGACTCACGCATTCAATACATATATATATATATATACATACATTCATACAGTGAAACATACAATACATATATATATATATAGAGAGAGAGAGAGTTATAATAGACTTATAGTTAAAACACACAGAAAAATGTCTGAACCGATGAGCGATACGACATCAACAACACCGTCAACAGTGGCCAACACCTCGGGATCAATGGCCACCACCACTACCGCCACTAGTCCGCCGTCATCACTATCATCGGGTACCGGATCCGCACCCGCGACCACTACACTAGCCGGCAATCCGCCGCCAGTTACCGCCAAAATTGATTACGATTTCTGTAAAGAGTTGGACGGTTGGGTCGAACAGCTTATGGATTGTAAACAACTAACCGAATCGCAAGTCAGACAACTGTGCGATAAAGCCAAAGAAATCCTGTCCCGCGAGAGCAATGTCCAGGATGTCAAATGTCCGGTAACGGTTTGCGGCGATGTTCATGGCCAGTTTCACGATCTGATGGAACTGTTCCGTATTGGCGGTTAGTATTAGTTGTATTACCGATAGTTTCGGGTAGTCGGGTGTGATTGGTGGCCACTAACACATACATACACACACTGATTGATTGTTAGATAGATGTCTAGATGTGTTGTTACGGTTTTGACGTAACGGCAGCCGCCAGTCGGGTGTGTCTATGTGTGTGTGTGTGTGTGTGTGTGTGTGTCRRCTGGCCGGCYGATGACCAGATTGAATGGTCTGTCCACTRTATGGACACATACACACACACACACACACACCGATAGATAGATTGATTGATTGACTAATGTGTTGTTKTTACGGTTTTGGACGGTTGTAACGGCAGCCGTGAGGCTGGTGTGTGTGTGTGTGTGTGTGTGTGGACTGACCGGCCGATGACACCGATTGGTGTGTAGGTCTGTCCACTCTATGAATAGACACATATATACTCATTACCGCTGCGCCTCTGATTGATGACAGGCCGCGGCCGGGATTGTGTGCTGTCTATACACATACACACACACACTCACAGGCGGTTAGCTCTGTGTGTGGTGTTTGGCGGCCGACCGACCGATCGGTTATGTTATTAATACTGTTAATGATTGACTGATGACTACCCGATTGTTATGTGTGTGTGTGTGTGTGTGTGTTGCTGACCACTACCCGATTGTTTGCTTACTATTAACTATCTATATATGATTTGATTTACTAATTATCTCTATTTTTTGTTTTCACACACCTGTAGGCCGCAGTCCCGACACAAACTACCTGTTTATGGGCGACTATGTCGACAGGGGCTACTATTCCGTAGAAACTGTATCACTGTTGGTGGCATTGAAGGTACGCTACAGGGATAGGATTACCATTTTGCGCGGTAATCACGAATCACGTCAGATAACCCAAGTCTACGGCTTCTACGATGAATGTCTCCGAAAGTACGGTAACGCCAACGTCTGGAAGTACTTTACCGATCTGTTTGATTATCTACCGTTGACTGCATTAGGTATATATACACTGTCCTCAAAACCCGATATACCYGACTGTGTGTGTGTTTATTGCTACCGATATCGATGATGTTATCCCTGTAACTGACAGATAGATAGAGCCGATAGATATGATTGATATGTCTATCGAGAGAGAGAGAGACAGTCAGATAACTTATTTCTATTGTTTATTTCSATCACTGACCCGACCCGACTGTCCATTTAGTATATATAWATATAAATATATAGATACAGTACTATTTAGTACCGTTTAGTTGATATCGATATCGACGGTAATTAACAGACACACACACACYGATTGACTGAYTGACCACTAATTGAAATCAATTACTTGGAATCTGATAATTAATACCTATTTTTTTCTTATTTATGTTATTTTTTTTATCTACCGGTGCTCTACAAATACAGTTGATAATCAAATATTTTGTCTGCACGGCGGCCTATCGCCATCGATCGATACATTGGATCACATCCGGGCATTGGATCGTCTACAGGAAGTACCGCACGAAGGACCTATGTGTGACCTACTATGGTCCGACCCSGAYGATCGTGGCGGTTGGGGTATATCCCCGCGCGGTGCCGGCTATACATTCGGACAGGATATTAGCGAAACATTCAATCATACTAATGGCCTGACACTGGTAGCCCGTGCCCAYCARCTAGTAATGGAAGGCTATAACTGGTGTCACGATCGTAATGTKGTSACYATATTTTCGGCACCCAACTACTGTTACCGATGCGGCAATCAGGCKGCSATTATGGAACTGGACGATACGCTCAAGTATTCGTTCTTACAATTTGATCCGGCCCCCCGACGGGGCGAACCCCATGTTACCCGACGCACGCCCGACTATTTTCTATAGGCTATTAATTATTATTATTATTATTATTAACTAAAACTAAATGATTATTATTATTATTATAATTAATTACATTTATAAAAACAAACTTAAAATTAATTAATTGGAATTGATTATCCACCCCCACCCCCCATCTACCCCACCCCTCCCGTCCGAAAACTATATATATATATATATATATCACTGATTATTATTATTATTATTATTTTTTATTACCGATTATTATTGATTACCGTAGTATCATATATATATATAACGTATAGACGATTATTTAAATACATAGACACACATAAACACAATGTTTTTTTTTATTTATATATATATATATATATATAKAGAGAGAGAGAGAGTCATAAAATTATTATTTTTTTTTTGATTTTAGTTTTGATTTAGTTTTGATTTTGTGTCCAATTTATTACATTATTATTATTATTTAATTACAACAATATGTACACATTTTTTTTTGATTTTGATTTATATATATATATTTGAATATTTTATATTTAAAACAAACAAACAAACAAATTTTTATCGATTAATTTTTTCTATAACACACACACACACACACTGTGTGTGGGTGAGTAATTTTTGTATCCAATGTGCGCCTATACCCGCCCACCCCTCCTATATATATATATATAACACACAYAYATACGCCCACCAATAAGATATACTCTACATTATTATGTTGTTGTTGTTGTAAATGTATGTTAAAAAAAAAAATGTTTTTTTAGTTTGTTTTGTTTGTAGCTATTTATATATATATATATATAAACACATCAACAAAAATTATCGGAGGGTGGGGCGGGTGGGTTATGTGTTTTTTTTATATAATTAAATTGGTGGGCGTACTACACTTAATTATAATTGTTATTTTATTTTATTAATTAATTTGATTTAATTTGATTTTTGTGTCGCCATTATCATCAGTGATGAACTTTTTTTTAAAAAAATAATAATAATTATTATTATTATTGATTATTTAGAATAAATAAATAAAAGTAGATTTAAACAAAAATAATGAAAAAAAATTACTATTAATTTATTATAAAATACTCGGAAATATTTTGTTTTTAAAAAATGATTATATTTTATTATTAGTATATATATAATCTATTATTATTATTATTATAATTGTTATAATAGTTTAGCTAAAGTATTAATTAGTAGTTAACAAAAAAATTTTTTTTAAATACTTAAAAATATTGATAGTTTTTTTTTGTTTATAAATAATTTTAGATTATTTTTTTTTTTGCATGCTTARTAAATGCATGTACACATAGCCATGAACACACACACACACACACACACACACACACACACATAAACTATGTTTTAATTTTATTAATTATTATTTTTTTTTGTAAAAAAAATTGATTATACATTGACACAAATTTTTGTTTTTTGAATATTTATAAATTTTTTTGTTTAATTTTTTGTTTAGTTAATTAAAGTACCATTTTTTTAGATACCGGTCTATATTTATAAATATATATACAGTATAAATATACTGTACATAATAATAATAATAATAATAATAATAATAATAATAATAATTTACATAGTACAAATTTGTAAAATTCACACACACAATTTTTACTATATTAAAAATAATAATAAATATTTTGAAACCCCTTAAATAAAATCACGGGATTTTATTATTTTATTATTTTATTTTTCGGGAATCACTTTTACAGCGATAGATGTGAAATATTTGTAAAAATCGGGTCAAATATATATATATATATATATAATATATGTATAGCAATGACTGAATTGTTTTTTTTTTTTAATAAAAATTAGTAGTTTTTAGATTTTAAAATATTATTATTATTAATTATTTTCAATTGAAAATCAATCAAAAAAAAACAAACATTTTTTGAAATTATCTATTATGTAATGTCAATGTAATTTTTCAAAAAAATAAAATAAAATTAAAAATAATACACAAAATTATTTGTTTTTAATTGTCATACACTTAGATATCATTAATAATAATATTAGTATTCAATCAATTGTTTTTTATATATAAATAAAAATTTTTGTTTAGAAATATATATTAAAAAAAATAAAATAAATTAAATGTTGAAATTATTTTTACGKTACATAATACTTATTATTATTATTATTATAACTATTAATTTATTATACAAATATTTGATAATAAATTATATTATGTTTATTATTAATATTTTTATTATTAAAATTATATTATTATTATTATTATTATCATAATATTTACATTGTGTACATCACATAAATAAATGTCATTAAAAATAATATATATATATATATATATTAAAAAAATATTAAATTATTTTATATCCTAGAATAATTTATATTATAATATAAATGATATAATCAAGATAATAATAATAATAATTATTATTATATATTGAAATATATTATTTAAGTAATTATTATTATTAATTGTTTTGTTTGTCTAATTATGTATTTCATCAATAAAAAAAATTATATCATTAAATTTATTATATAAAAAAATAAATAAAAAAAATTTTCATTAATTATTTTTTATATCATGATAATTATATGATAATAGTTATAATTAATTATTATCTATTAATACTGTATTTTTTATAATTTTATTGCATATTATATATACCGTATATATATATATAGAGGACACAAAAATTATAAATTATTAATTATATAAATAATTAAATATTAAAAATTATAATATAATTAATTAGATTTTTTAAAAAAAAAGTTATTTCATTATTATTATCGTCATAACAATTATAATAATAATAATTATCATTAGTATTATATCARTCAAAATGATTAAAACAAAAAATAGTTTAAGTAATTAAAAGATAAATAATTAAAAAAGTAAAATAAATAAATAATTTTTTAATAAATTATCAATGTCCTAATGTAAACTATATACACTATTATACAATAGTTATATATATATACATGTATTTTATTTTAATTAAAAAACAAAATAATATATATTGTATTATTATTATTATATAAAAAATAAATAAATAAATAATTTTTAATATAAGAAACAAATTTATTGTGAATAAAATTTAATATAAAAGCAATTATTTTTTTTAAATTATTTATTCAACAACAAAAAAATTATCAATTTATTTGTAAAAAAAATTATTATTCAATAAAATCAAATCAAATCTCTATAAATAGCATTAAAATATTATTATATATATTTTTTGTAAATTAGTTTTAAAAATTAAAAAAAATACTAATAAATAAATATATATATAATAAAAAATACAATCAGTTTATTTCTATACATACATAACACAAACATAAAACTACCCACATCAAATTAGTTTATATTTTTTAAATTAAAAAAAAAGTAATTTAAATATAATTAAAAAAAATAAAATAATAAATAAAATTCTGTTATAAATTTACAATGTACATGTTAAATTTTTTAAAAAAACCTAAACGTAATTTATGTACAACCAGTACAACCATCAGTATTACAATAGCCAATCAATGAACTTYAMAATTGTTTTTCAATATTCAATGTATTATTCACTGTTTGCAACCGTTTTATACGTATAAAGTAGAGGTGTGTTAACAACAATACGGGAATTAAAACTATATGTGATATCCAAACCAATCATTATATATATATTAATAAAGCATTAATTATTATTAGTAGTAATAATTTATTAATATTTTTTTAAAATAAAAATATATATAAAAACAATTATTTAAAAATGTTAAAATAAATTTTAACATTTTTAATTATTGCTATCTACGCTTAACAACGGGAATTAAAAACAATGAGATATCCAAAACCAATCATTATATATATTACTGAAAATATTAATTTATTAGTAATTAATTTATAATTTTTTTATAAAAATATATATATAAATAATTATGTAAAAAAAACATTTTTTTTAAACAAAAAATAATAATTTTTAACATTTATCATCTGTTTTTAAATTTCAAACCCATATTATTTTATTTTATTTATTTTTTCTAGTTATGTCTATAACTTTACCCATAAATTATTTATTTTTTGATTTGCATCTCTAGTCTAATATGTTTTAAGTAAACTGTATAATACATAGTGTAATACTATAGCAAACATTGCATTACTATTAGTGTTGTTATTATTATTAGTATTATTATTGATAACAACAAACAACTGCTTAATAAATAGTAATACAATAAACAACTAAACAAAACAATCAATTGATTATTGAACCGACAATTATGATGACCGCCCGATATAGTAGCGACCAATAGTGGACACCCGACACACAGACACACCCGCGAGTTGGACAACACATTAATTGGCCGGACCTATAAATAGCCGACTGTTTCACAGAGACACAGACAGACAGACAAACAGACAAGTGGTCAGTCGCGACGGTTACCACCAATCAGTCACTCGGATTAGTCACTGGACACCCGACACACACCCGCCAGTGGACGACACATTAATTGGCCGGACCTATAAATAGCCGACTGTTTCACAGAGACACAGACAGACAGACAAGTGGTCAGAGCGACGGTATAACCAAACACTCGGCGCCATAAAATCAGTCTCCGGTTAGTCACCGATATATCGGTCGGTCGGTCGGACAATAGTAGCCCCGAAAAGACATACATATAGTACCGAAAAAACTGTGTTCATCCCCACCAATCGGTTACCGCCATTACCGCTATTACCGCCGATAACTATGGAAGCGCTGATACCGATTGTCAACAAACTACAGGACGTATTCAATACCATTGGTGCCGATGCCATACAATTGCCGCAGATTGTTGTTGTCGGTACTCAATCGTCGGGCAAGTCATCCGTATTGGAATCGATTGTTGGCAAAGATTTTCTGCCACGCGGTGCCGGTATTGTTACCCGCAGGCCATTGGTCTTACAGTTACARTATGTGGCCAAAGATGATCGTATAGTACGGGACGCTAACGAAGGTATTATTATTATTATTGATATATTACTTAATAATAATCGGCGATCGGATCTGTCTGTCTGTCTTTTTTTTCTCTCTCTCTCTCTCTATCTATCTCTCTSTCTCTCTCTCTGTCTCTCTCTATCTCTATCTATGGCTCTCTCTCTCTCTCTGTCTCTCTCTATCTATTAATCTCTCTCTCTCTATCTCTCTCTCTGTCTCTCTCTCTCTCTCTCTCTCTCTCTCTCTCTCTCTCTGTCTCTCTATCTCTCTGTCTCTCTCTGTCTCTCTCTGTCTCTCTCTGTCTCTCTCTGTCTCTCTCTCTCTCTCTCTCTCTCTCTCTCTCTCTCTCTCTCTMTCTATCTCTGTCTCTCTCTCTCTCTCTCTSTCTCTCTCTATCTCTCTATCTCTCTCTCTCTCTCTCTCTCTCTGTCTCTCTCTATCTCTATCTATGGCTCTCTCTCTCTGTCTGTCTCTCTCTATCTATTAATCTCTCTCTCTCTTTCTATCTATCTATGTCTCTGTYTGTCTGTCTCTCTCTCTATCTGTCTGTCTCTCTCTMTCTCTCTCTCTCTCTGTCTCTCTCTATCTCTATCTATGGCTCTCTCTCTCTGTCTGTCTCTCTCTATCTATTAATCTGTCTCTCTCTTTCTATCTATCTATGTCTCTGTCTGTCTGTCTCTCTCTATCTCTCTATCTCTCTCTGTCTCTCTCTCTCTCTGTCTCTCTCTATCTCTATCTATGGCTCTCTCTCTCTGTCTGTCTCTCTCTATCTATTAATCTGTCTCTCTCTTTCTATCTATCTATGTCTCTGTCTGTCTGTCTCTCTCTCTGTCTCTSTCTCTCTCTGTCTCTCTCTATCTATCTCTCTGTCTCTCTCTATCTATCTCTCTGTCTCTCTCTATCTATCTATCTATCTATGTCTATGTCTATGTCTCTGTCTCTCTCTCTCTCTCTCTCTCTCTCTCTCTCTCTCTCTCTCTCTCTMTCTCTCTCTCTCTSTSTCTCTCTCTATCTATCTCTCTGTCTCTCTCTATCTATCTATCTATCTATGTCTCTGTCTGTCTGTCTCTCTCTCTCTCTCTCTCTCTGTCTCTCTATCTCTGTCTCTCTCTATCTATCTCTCTATCTCTGTCTATCTCTATCTATCTATATATCTGTCTCTGGCTCTCTCTATCTATCTATCTATCTCTATGTCTATCAAACACTTAACAATTTATTTGTTTRTTTGTTTTTTAGGTACACTAGATATGGACGAATGGGCAAAATTTTTGCACACAAAAAACAAAATCTATACCGACTTTGATGTCGTCCGCCGGGAAATCGAATCGGAAACCGAACGAATGGGCGGCAACAACAAAGGCATTTGTCCGGAACCGATAAATTTGAAAATCTATTCGGATAAAGTGGTCAACCTGACCCTGGTCGACTTGCCCGGTATTACCCGAGTACCGGTTGGCGACCAGCCCGAAGATATTGAAGTCCAAATACGTAATCTGATTGTCAAATATATATCGAACCCSAAYTCGATTATAYTGGCCGTTACGCCGGCCAACACTGATTTTTCTACATCCGAATCGCTTAAACTGGCCAAAGATGTCGATCCCGACGGTAAAACTAGTTCACTAAAAAAGTGGTCACTAATCTAACTATTATTGTTGTTGTTGTTTTTTTTGATGGACCGATAGGTCGCCGAACATTGGCCGTCATAACCAAATTGGATCTGATGGACGCCGGCACCGATGCCGTAGACGTACTCTGTGGCCGTATAATACCCGTCAAACTGGGTATTATCGGTGTTGTCAATCGATCGCAACAGGATATCATTAACAAGAAATCCATTGACGACGCCCTCAAAGACGAACTTCTCTATTTGCAGCGCAAGTATCCATCGTTGGCCACCCGTAACGGTTCGCCATATTTGGCCAAAACATTGAATCGGGTATTTATTTTTTGATGAGCACTGTTAGCTTTTTTTTAGTGGATAGTTATCTAATTGTTTGTTTGTTTTTTCTCTCAATCAATCAATCAGCTACTGATGCATCACATCCGAGACTGTCTACCGGAGCTCAAGACACGGGTCAATGTCATGATATCGCAGTTTCAGTCACTACTCAACTCGTACGGCGTGGCAGTCGATGATCAGGTGTGTGGGCTCATGTATCCTAACTAACGGGACAGTTATGTGTGTKTGTGTGTGTGWGCTATGCTATCAATTTGCTTATCAATTGATTAACTAATTAATTAATGTTTTTAATAGACATATCAATCACTAAATGCTATATAATTATTGTTATAATTAATTAATTAATTTCAAAACTCATATATTTTCATTGTCCGCCCACCCGTCGGCTCTCATAATAATAATTGCATAACAAATAGGACGACCCAAAGGGGGCGGCGGTAAGGAGTTCTCACTCTATATATATATATATAYAYACAGGCTTTCCTTATAACCACAAAAAAATATGACATTTATTTGATTTCTWGTTTTTTTTAATACTTTTAAACACAATTTTTTTTAATACATTGATATTAAACTTAAAAAAAATTTTTTTTTGAATAATCTATTAATTTTTATTTTGTTTTTTTTWAAAAAAATATTTTCGGGAACTATAGGGACAAACATTGTTGCAAATCATAACAAAGTTTGCCTCATCCTATTGTCAGACGATTGAGGGAACGGCACGTAATATTGAGACCACTGAGCTGTGCGGCGGCGCCCGTATATGCTATATATTTCACGAAACATTTGGCCGAACCCTAGACTCCATACATCCATTAGGCGGACTGACAACACTCGATATAYTGACGGCCATCAGGAATGCCACTGTTAGTAGTAGTAGTAGTAGTAGTGATGATGGAGGACAGGGATGTGTTGTTAGTATTAATACTCTGTTTTTTTTTAAATCATAGGGTCCCCGACCGGCACTGTTTGTACCCGAAGTATCGTTCGAGCTGTTAGTCAAACGTCAGATCCGGCGACTGGAGGAACCGTCACTCAGATGTGTCGAACTGGTACACGAAGAGATGCAACGAATCATACAGCACTGCGGCATTGAAGTACAGGTGCGTATGGGGTTGACCTAACTAAACCACCCGTTCCTCCACTAATAGTATAGTATATTAATCGGTTGACCACTATTTTTCCGGGGGATTTACAGCAAGAAATGCTGCGTTTTCCGAAACTACACGAACGTATTATGGATGTCGTCACCCAATTGTTGCGCCGACGGCTGCCGCCAACCAATTCGATGGTCGAAAATATGGTACACATCGAACTGGCCTACATTAACACCAAACATCCCGATTTTCATGACGCCCAACTAGTTGGCCAACTAATCAAAAACTCTGAGGAACAACGTCGGCCAGCGGTTGCCCGACTCCGGGATACGTCACCGTCGCCCGACTCGGCCGGCAGCGGTGGTATTGTTGACCAAAGACAACAACAACGTTTACATCAACAGCAGCAACAATACCAACAGCAAACAGTGGCCACTAATGCCAGCAGCGGTTCGGGTGATAATAGACAACAGACTACTAGTAGTAGCGGTTTTTTCGGGTTTATGTCTAAAGACCAGTCAAACCATAACAAGACCACAGTAGCCAATAGTACTGCTTCCGCGTCCGCCGCCGCCGCCGTCACCAATGGTGACCAGGATAGCGGTATCGATGAACTTAGCGACCAATTTCGCGAGATTCATCCCATACGGGTACAGTCACCGATGAAACCGGTCAACTTGTTGCCCGAAGTTGTAAGTATTTTGTTGTTGTTGTTGTTGTTGGCCATCATTATCGGCAATATATATACTAATTGTTTGTTTGTTTTCCCGAAAACAGCCGACCAATACAACCACTCGTAAACTGTCGGCACGCGAACAACGGGACTGCGAGGTCATCGAACGACTGATTAAATCCTATTTTCTGATTGTCCGCAAAAATATTCAGGACTCTGTACCGAAAGCTATTATGCATTTTCTGGTCAACTATATTAAAGATAATCTCCAGTCGGAACTGGTATCCCATCTCTACAAACACGAACAGTTTGCCAATCTATTGTCCGAATCGGAACATATAGCTATCAGGCGCCGGGAGGCCAGCGAAATGCTAAAGGTTTGTATCGGTTTAGTACCGGTAGTACTGGTAGTAGTATTTGATTGACTACCTGTGCGCTACACATATACTGTATATACTGTATAACTAATTGGTTTTTTTTAACTGTCTGTCCTCTCTATGTATAACTAATAGGCACTGCAAAAGGCTAACCAAATAATCGGCGAAATACGTGAAACACACATCTGGTAGTACACATCATCGGGTAGTTGTGCACCGGGAGGTGTGTGTATTGAATGCATGTCGAAGCCTATTACATGACGATCGATCCCCCCATTAGTTATTATTATTATATTATAATTTTTTTTCTAATTATTACTATTATTATTATACCTATTATAATGAATTAGCGGTTTTATTATTATTATTATTATCATTAAAAAATATATGAAACAATTGTTTTATTATAAATAAAAAATAAATAAATTTTTTCAATGATTATTATTATTATTGTTATTGATATACATGTGTCTGTGTGTTGAGGAACAGGTTGGGATGGAGGGGTTAGTGGGTGGTTGTGTATGATTACAAATACATACATACATCAGTAGTAGCTAACTGTTTATACCCCCTCACCCCCCCCCCGCTATCCATACATTTTTGATTATCAATGATTAAGCAAACAATATAGTCAACTATAATAACTATCATCAACAACATTATTACTGCACTTTTTTTTTGTATATAATAATTATTAATTTATATATATATTACACAATTGATTATTTAGATATTAGTATAATTAGTATATAWTTTTTTTGTAATTTAATAATAAATATTATCAATTAGTAAATTATTTAGTAAATTATTGAATTAAAATTATAAAATAATAATTAYCAATCAAGCTGRARATTGAAATAAATAATATTTACAGGATATGATTAATATACCTAAAAAAAATATATAAATTAATTATTAATTATTTTTATTTCAATATTTACTAGTAAATCAAAATATTTGCTTATATATATATATATATTATATTTTATTAAAAACTACTAAAATATACATTTTTAGGTTAAATTTTATATATTATAGACACTATTATATAGAAATAACTTTGAAAAACAAAATATTGAATTACTCGTTAATATTTATTGAAATAAAAAAAAATTTTAATTAATTTATATATTTTTTTTAGGAATATTAGTCATATCCTGTAAATATTATTTATTTCTATTTCCAGCTTTGACTTTCTCTATCTATATAAAAACTGACAAAAAAAACTATTTTAAAGTTAATTTAAAGTGTTTTATGTAAGTTTAAAACAGAGTTAAAAAGCAAAAAAAGCAAAAAAAAAAACTATTCAATAAATTTGTTTATATAAAAAATAAAAGTAAGTTTTTTGTTATTAACCTAATAGTTATTATACACACACACACACACACACAAAGAATCCATCAAAGAAATAATCGGAAAAACATAAATCGAACAACAACAAAAAATCATTTAACCATGTAGAATTTTTAATTTTTTAACTAATTTTTTAAAATTCTATTTAAATTATATATATATATTATTTTTTTACTATTTATTTTGTTGTTGTTGTTGTTTCTATATTATCTTATCTATACTAATTTTTTTAATACTTTAATTTTTTTAATATATATATATATATATATATATTATAATATAATTAAATTTGTTGTTATTATTATCAGTTTGTTTTTTAGATTACCAAAAAAAAAATTTATAATAATGTATGAGAATTTATTATTACTTTGAATTAATTATTAATAAGTTTATATTATTAAGTATTACAAACATTGTTGTAGTTATCATTAAAAATTTAATAAAAAAAAGTCATTTAAAATAAATTGAAATCATTATAATTTTTTTTATTATTATTATAGAACAATCATTTAATTCTAAATCAAATAATAAACACAAACTAAAATTTACTTTATTTTAAATTTATTTTTTAAATAATTATTGACTAAATATATATTTGTATAATACATGACCAATTTGGTTTACAAACAGTAGCTAGTCAGGTAAGTGTATGTGTGTCTATCCTAACTAACGAGACAGTTATGAGTGTTAGTTATGCTATCAATTTGCTTACCAATTGTTATTGCTAAATTATTATAACTATTATTAAAACTACTAAACTATACACTAAGCTATTATATAATAAGTACTATAATGTATTAGTGTTTAATTACTAAATCTATTTATTTAAAAATTTTACTAAACATTTTATTTATTAATATTATAAAATATAATAAAAATTTATAAAAAAATAACATAAATTACTAAATAAAAAATGTTTAGATTTTTGTATAATTTAATATAATCTATTTTTTATTTTTTGATTGTCCAATAAATTTTTAATTATATTATCGCTAGTATTAATCATTGCATTAATTATTTAACAGTAATTTTTAGTGTAATATTTATAAATTAAAAATTATATCTAATTTTTTTTTCAATAATGCAATACTTTTTTATTATTAACTAATATTAATGTTTAGATTACTCTCTCTCTCTCTCTCTCTCTCTCTCTCTCTCAACAATCTGTATATTATATTATTCAACATATTTTTGAATCTCATATATAAATAAAATTATATCTAATTTTTTTTCAATAATGCAATACTTTTTTATTATTAACTAATATTAATGTTTAGACTACTCTCTCTCTCTCTCTCTCTCTCTCTCTCTCTCTCTCTCTCTCTCTCTCTCTCCAAATCTATATAAAGAGAGACAAAAAATATTTAGTTAAAAATTATTTAACAAATTTGTTTGATTTCTACAGAATCTGAAAAGTTATTACACAACAAAATAAACAGTAAATACTATAAAAAATTTAATTTTTTATTACTATATATATTTGTTTTATTATTATAATCATACATGTTAATTTTTTTATTTTTTTAAAAAAAATAGTTTTTAAAAACAACAATGGATCTTACTCAAAAAAACATTACACTTAGTTGTACTGTAGATGAATCTACATGGACAATTAAGGATCCATTTACTGGATCATTTAACTATACCAATAGAAAAACTACAGTAACACCATGTGATAAACCTGACTGTCCCGTAAAAATACAAGGATCACCACCACCACCACCACTGCCACCACTACAACCTTCACCACCACCAACACAACCATCACCACAACCACCAACAACAACAACACCAACACCACCACCACAACCAACATCACTGGTTTCTAACCATTGATGGGAAATAAATAATTGTTTAAATCAATAACAATAACAACACTAGCAAACAAAAATATTTAAACAAGTAGAATTTTATTTTTTTTTAATTTAATATTTTTAAATTAATTTTTAAAAAAATCTTTATCTTATATATATATATATTATTTTCCTACTATTTATTTTCTAGTTGTTGTTGCTATATTATCTTATCTATATATATACTAATATTTTTTAATACTGAAAATATTTAAAAAAAATATTTTTATATAAATATATATATATAAAATACTTATTAAAATTTTTTTTAACTAATTTCAATTTTTTGTTTTTATTATCAGTTTGATTTTTAGATTACAAGTATAATGTAATAATGTATTAGAATTTATTATTAAATATTAAAATAAAAATGTATTTGATTTAAATGTTTTTTATTTAATTTTTTTACTTTTTTGATAAGCATTTGAATTTTGAATTATTTATTAATAAATTTACTTCAAATTTTGTATTAACTTTTAATGTTTACAAACTTAATTGATTTAAAAATTAAATTTTTTATAATAGAATATACATTTTAATTCCAAATAAAATAATAAATATTTAAACACTTAAACAATAAATTGAAAATTTATTTAATTATATTATTATTTTTTATGTCACAATTCATAATAATAAAACTTAATTTTAATTTTTTTAAGTTAAAACTT